TCTCTCTCTCTCTCTCTCTCTCTCTCTCTCTCTCTCTCTCTCTCTCTCTCTCTCTCTCTCTCTCACCCCCCGCACTTTATGTCTCTGATTGCTATTTTCCTGACTCGGATTGTGTCTCGGTCAGGTGCGGCTTGTGCGCATGCTGCGGCAGATGATTTTCGGTCAGCCTGGGAAGCTGACATCGGCACGTAAGATTGCATTCTTGGCAAGCAGAGTCGTTGCTGTTGTATGTCTAGATATATACTTTTTCTCTTCGCTGTAAATTCTCGTCTTGCCGGTGGGGCAGTTGAAAGGTGGTCCACTTCTCTCGATTTGGTTACACCTTTCTGGACCGTAGATCACGAAGATCAGAGAGCTGGAAACAGCACAAGGTCGAGGTACTATACAGCAGGTGTGACTTCGGCCCTGGACTTAAGCTCGTCGCTCTTCAGAACTAGTTATTGTGTTAACGGTGTCGAACAGTATCGATCACCGCAATCATTGAAGCTAAGTGTACACAGTAAGAGCATAAGATTTTCACTGTTGCAATCATATTGAACATAGTCCACATCGCATTCAATGTCTCCTTTCCATACATAACCACCCAGATTCAAGAACAGCAGCGTGAAACGAGAGACGAAAACAGAAAGAAGCAAAGGAGGAGGAGGAGGAGGAGGGGGAAGAAGAAGAAGAAGAAGAAGAAGAAGAAGAAGAAGAAGAAGGGAGGAGAAACAAAAGGAGAATGAAGGTAGACATTCCATGCATAACCACCCAGATTCAAGAAAAGAAGAGTGAAACGAGAGACCAAAAAAGGAAGAGGCAGAGGAGGAGGAGGAGGATTGGGAAGAAGAAGAAGAAGAAGAAGAAGAAGAAGAAGAAGAAGAAGACAAGAAGAGAGGAGAAAGAAAAGGAGAATGAAGGTATAGACAAGGATAAGAGTTTTTTTTTTCCCGAAGATGACTTTGAATCGAAAAATGAAACAATGTAACAGAAGCCACAAAAAAATGAAACGATGTAACAGAAGCCACATGGACCCGACTACGGCTGGCGCTGACTAATTTCGACTGGCCGCTTCCAGCGATCATCATGGTTCTTCGGTCGTTAGAGAGTTGCCATGGAATAGCGTAGTAGCGGAAGACAAGCAAATGACGACTCTACTAGCTCTCCAGACAGGAACAAATTACATTTTTTTATACAAATAAGAGTAGAAAAACTGATTTTTTTTACAAGAGAAAAAAAACAAAAAAAATTGTTACGCATCCCCATCTCTCCGACCAACGCGCACAGCCGCCGATATCTCGTCGCGTTGCGACCTGGGCCGCGATCCCGTCTTTGTCAGGGAGCTTTCCCTCTAGTACCCCTCCATGCGACTTCCTCCTCACATAAGACCACCGTCTTCTTTTCATAAATGAATTAAATGATTATTATTAACAATTGAGTTACTTGTTTATTAATTATTAGAGACTTTCCTCGCGATTGCGCCGACGAAGAAGCAACCCCTTCCCC